GTCAAATGTTTGATGCCTTTAAATTTACAGTAATCTTCAAATGTACATGAAACAAGCTGTGGTCCGTTATCGGTGACACAAATTTCACATAAACCTTGGTGCGCAATTACATCATCAAACATATCAACAGTTTTTTCACTGGTGGTTACTTTAGTTTTGATAATCTCCGGCCACTTGCTAAAAGCATCGACGATAATCAGAAAGTAATAATTGTCTATTGGACCAGCGTAATCGAGATGAACTCGAATCCATGGTGCTATTGGCATTGGCCAAGGGTGCAGAGTGCACTTGATTGGTGTTTTCGCTGCCTTAGCACAGCTATCACACGATTTCACGATCTGTTCAATATCTTTAGACATTCTTGGCCAAAACACTTTGTCGGCAGCCAACAGCTTCATACGACACACACCTGGATGACCTTCATGAAGACTTCCAATTATTTTCTTACGCAGTTTGAACGGAATAATAATTTGTTCGCCTCTGAACAAACAACCTTGGGCTTCCTTCAAGTCGTAGCGATATGGAAAGAAAGCGGCTACCTCAATTTCTTTTACTTGCTTGCAAAACTTGGGCCATTTATCTTGCGATACAAATTCAATGACCTTTTTGAGTGTCGGGCAATCGTTGGTGGCTTCTTGAATATCTTTGAATGTGATTGGTAGCTGTTTTGCTGATTGAATGGCAAAACAAGATATATCTTCTACATTTTCATTACTCCACGAAATAGATGCAATGACAGTATCTTCGTCGGGTTTGGTGTATTCAGACATCAGTCGGGATACAACATCAACATATCCGAAACTGTTTGTACCGATGAACTCAAAATTAATGTCGTAAGCTAAAACGATGAGCGCCCAGCGTTGTAGACGGTTAGCCGTATAAACTGGGATACCACTTTTTGATCCAAAGATAGCGAGCAAGGGCTTGTGGTCGACTTGAGCGAAGAAACGTCGACCTGCGATATAAAAGTGAGATCGTTTCAAACCAAATATGAATGCACGAGCTTCCTTTTCGATTTGGGAGTAATTTTTCTCAGCTTCATTGAATGTTGCAGCAAAATGCATTATTGGGTGAAGAGATCCATCCTTGAAACGATGCATTAATGCTGCCCCCATGCCGTCTTTTGATGCATCTGTAGCCAGTACAATGTCTTTTCTTGGGTCGAAATGCGTAAGAACTAAATCTGATGACAAAATCTTCTTCAGTTGATCGAATGCTTCTTGATGAATGCTTTGCCATTCAAATTTTGCTTCTTTCTTCAATAAGTCATCCAATGGACCTCTCAACTGCTTCATTGACTTGATAAATTTGCCGTAGTAGTTCACTGAACCTAGGAATGATCGCAATTGGCTAACGTCTTTAGGTTGAGGAACTGATTGAACTTCCCAAATTTTTTCAGGATTTGGCCTGATGCCTTTCTCATCGATGATATGGCCGCAAAAGTTAACTGACGACTTGCCAAAACAACACTTGCTAATATTTAATTTAAAACCATAAATTTGAAGCTGTTCAAGCGTCTTGAAGAGCTGCTGTTTGTGATCTTCAAGGTTCTCTCCTGCTGTGATCATGTCATCGATAAAACCAAATGTTGAGGTTCCACTGAGCATTTTATCAACTATGGCTTGGAATTCCCCAGGCGCTGTTTTGACTCCTTGCTGAAGGCGATTTACTTTAAACATTCCAACGTGAGTGTTGATTGCCATAATTTCCTTGGAATCATCATCAACCTCGACTTGAAAAAAAACGTCGGACAAATCTATGGTACTGAATATTGTCTTTCCTGCAAACTTAGCGAAAATTATATCGGGTGTCGGCAAAGTGTACATGTTTGGCTCAAGTGCATTGTTAAGACCAGTTGAATAATCAGCACAGATTCGCAATTTGCCATTCTTCTTTTTAACAACCACGATAGGTGCTGCCCATTGGGAATACTTGATTGGACTGATAATGCCAAGATGTTGAAGGCGTTCCAGTTCAATTGAAATGGGTTCGCGAGCTGCTTGCGGAACTGGTCGAGCATTCCGAAATATTGGATGGGCTCCAGGCTTGAGCTTCAGAGAAACTTTTCCTTTGTTGAAACAGCCAAGTCCCTCGGAAAAAAGCTGCGGAAATTTTTCGCAAACTTCAATAGCCAAGTCATCACCAGTTGATTTTATATGTTTGCAAACAGAATCAAAGGGAACACTCCAAAGATCGAAAGAAGTAATCCAAGGTATGCCAAAAAGATTCAATTCAAGTGATGTAACGTAGCAAATTCCGCGTTTTTCCTTCCCATTTAGTTTAATGCCACAATTGAAGGCACCCAAAATTGGAATAGCAGCACCTGATGCGCTTGTGGCATTGGTGCGTATTTCAGATGACAGCATTGGTTGTCCGATTAAAATCCAATTTGATTTTGATATGATTGTTATATCGGAAGCAGTATCAACCTGCAATTTGATTACAGTTCCGTTTACAACTGGACTGATATACTTTCGGTTAGAGATTGCGTGAACGTTAGCTTCAACTTGATTCGAACTGTGGTTTTTCTTGCTGGATGATTTATATCCCTTGAAATTTTTCATAAAAGCACAGAAACCTGTCTTATGCCCTTTTTCATTACATTCGCCACACTGCTTGTCCTTGCATGGACAATTATCACTCCAATGCATTTCGCCGCAACGAAAACATTCCAAGCGAGGAGTGTCGTTTCTTTGGTTCCGTACCATTGACTTGTCTTTGTTGACTAATGACTTTGAGTTTTTATTTTGTTGAACAGAATGAACTTCTTGAGCAGCGAATGCCTCGCCAACTTTACCCTTGTCAAGCTTCAAACAAATTATACGCTCGGCTTCGTTGATCAGATCCTGCAAATTTAGCTTGTGAACCTCTGCACGTGCAGCCGCATCTGTTACCCTCTCCAACTCTATATACTGATTGTCAACTTTCGTTAGAAGCTTTTCCAGGATAAGCGAGTCCTTGACGTCTTTTAACCCACTCACAAATAACAAAACTTTAAAGTCATCCGCGGTACAATGAGAAATGTCAAACTCCTCGGCGTGCTTATTTATACGAGCGGCATATATGCTAAAATCCTCATGGTCTAACTTTGCGAGGTTAAAACACCTATGACGCATTGCGAACTTTGTTTCTTTATAATCGAAAAGTTTCTTAAGTGTTGTCACAGTATTCGCAAATGTACAATCTTGTGGTTTAAGAGGTAATATTGAATCCGCATAACGTTGATACTGTTCCTGATTGAATTTTTGGAAAAGAAGATAAACTTTTGTCGGTTCATCCAGACCCTCTGCTTGATTTGTAAAAACCGACTCATACCGTTCATAATAAGCCTCAAACGTTTGATTGTTATCTGGGTCATATTCAAAATTGACCATAGAATCGGCCAAACATTTAACTTTAAATGCTGTTGAATCTTGAGCAAGAACGGCTTGATATGCAATCTGTGCCGGTTGACCTTGAAGAATGCGCTCAATCAGATTCTGCTGTTGTTGCATATGCTGTTGCATCAAATTTTTTTCTTCTTGGTGTTGCTTCAAAATCTGTTGATTTTGTACTTGCAATGCCTCGAACAATGCCTTGAATTGTGAGTGATCCATTTTGCTGAATGCGTGTTTTCTAAATTAAACTCGTCGCCAATGTAGTAAATCGTAATTATTTAATGAATAAGGAAGATTTACAAAGATATGTTATTCAATTGACAAAAAGTGCAAAGCTTTTTAAGGAATGGAAAAAAACGCAAAGTCAATAATCAAGTCTCGAACACTCTGTTTATCCATTTGTAACATTCCTCCCCCTTTAAAATCTGACGTAGTCGTCAAATTTTTTAGTCTGTCCTCTATTTCCTCGTACTGGATAACGGTGTTGATCCTGAATTGTTTTAAAGCCCTGAATGTCTTCTTTTAGAAAGTCGTCCATCCCTTCCTGATTTTCCTCAAAATTTGTTTCTCCAGCGGATTCAATAATTCCTTGATTTCCTGGTTCTGGAATAATATTAGGTTCAACTTCATCCCTCTGTCTAGCTGCAGCTTTTAGTGATAGATTGTCTTCGAAATCTGGCAATTTGAACCACTCTAGCATTTCATTTTTAGAGTAACGGCGCTTAAGTTGGTTAGCGTGAGCTTTGACAATGCGATTACCCGAAGGTGTTATAACATCCACAGTATAATTGACAGCCCCATTTCGACTTTTAATTATACCTGGAACCCATTCCCACACTTTGCTAGTTGAATGAAGCTGATAGTAAACCTCATCATCAACATTGAACTCTCTCCATTTCGCACCATGGTGGTAATTAAATTGATCTTCCATTTTCGTGCTTGAAATCGAATTTGAAAGGTTTTTTGGCTTCAGAAGATCTAATTTTGTTCGCATCGGACGGCCTGTCATCAATTCAAACGGCGATTTCATTCCAAGATGGTAAGAAGGTGTATATCGATATGAAAACAAGAATTCGCGTAACTTCTGGTCAATATTCCCTGCTGCCTTTCCAATTCCTTTCTTAAATAATTCTACAAATCGTTCTGCCTGACCGTTTGACTGTGGACTGTAAAATGAGGTCGTCAAATGTTTGATGCCTTTAAATTTACAGTAATCTTCAAATGTACA